ATTTTTATATATACACACACATCTATATATAAATATTTTCTGCAGTAGTCAGAATAAATGCCTGAAGTGATGTTTGGGATCCAAAGGGAAGGAAGAACAAACTGAGAAGCAGGCATGAATGGGAGAGACAGAGGGGCCAACAGATCTTTAGGAATGGGGAAGAAAATAGGCTTTATCAAAGGAATCAAAGGAGGAGAAAGTTGAATAGTACAGTGTGGCAAAAATCAAGACTGAGAGAATTTTTAGAAGATGAAAACTCTTGGTGTCAAATGCTATAAACAGGTTGAGTAACAAGAACAATTTTTTTTTTTTTAAATAAAATAAAAGACCTTTTTGAGACAGGGTCTCACTGTGTTGCCCAGAATGACCTTGAACTCCTGGGCTCAAGTCATCCTCTTGCGGGGCTGGGGATGTAGCTCAAGTGGTAGCGCGCTCGCCTGGCATGCCTGCGGCCTGGGTTCAATCCTCAGCACCACATACAAACAAAGATGTTGTGTCCACCGAAAACTTAAAAAAAGTCATCCTCTTGCCTCAGCCTCCGAAGTAGCTGGGACTACAGGTGTGTCCCACCATGCACAGCTAAGAGCAATGACTAAAACTTCATGGGAGGCTGGGGGTATGGCTCATGGGTAGAACACTTTCCTAGCATGTGTAAGGCTCAGGATTTGGTTCCCAGCACCACAAAAACAACAACAAAAACAACTTTATTGAATTTGGCTTGAAGGACGTTTTGGTAAATTTGAGTAAATGGTTTCAGTGCAGGGTTGAGAGAGCACTCAGAGTTTGTATATTTTGGAGGGGTGACTGGGACTGTGTCAAGATACCTGGAAAGAGGAGTGGCTATAGGTATCACCACAGTTGTTAAGTACTTAACAGCAAGAGGACAATAGCTTGGTAATTTTTTTTCTAATTCCCAAAAGGATTTGAGTCAGCAAATGGGGTGGGGAAGGGAGTGCAGGAGGAAGTTGAATGGGGACAGAAGATTGGCTGAGAGTGTAGAAAGTGGAGGTGGAGGGAGGGGAGACTTTTTAGGACTTGTAACAGAAGGTGATATCTACTGTCTAAGGGAGGGAGTAACTGCCTTATAGATTAGAGATAACTCCAGAGGCTAGAAGGAAATGCAAGATGCTAAGTATAGGATCCTGATACTTGTGAATGAGGGAAGGCTCATGAAGACTCTTTGGAGGATCTCCGAGTATTGGTCCAGGAGAAGACAGGCAAAACAGGAGGGTTTGAGAAGCTCTGAAACTGTTGTGGAACAAAGTGCTAGATATTTAACAATTGTTTCTTCTGGTATAAAAAACATACAAAAATTGGTAAATACTAGTGTTTGTTTTACCCAAATAAGAACTATTTGATTCACCCAAATGCAAAAATATATAGCAACCAGGTACTTAATAAATGCTGCTTGAATTAAGTTATATTTATTAGATATGAGTTAGGCACTGACTTAATTTATGAATACAGCTATGTAGCTCTGTAGGTGTGTGTTTCTTTTAAGGGTATGATAGTTTGCATTCTGTTTTTTTCTACACACAAACCCAGAACTAATTGTGCCACTAGCTTTTACCTAAGGCTCCACTTTTCAGAGGCCAGAGCATTGGGCTAATATGCTTTCCTATGCCCTTTTCCTCTCTGGGAAGAAGGCTGGAGGTTGGGTGGTCTGCATAGACTTAGGTTGCTTCCAAAATCTGCATCACTCAATCACTCAGGGCTGAACTTTGCTCAGGCACAGATTACTTCTTATTAACATGTATTTGAAAGACAAACTGAGAAACTTGAGTGAAAGTCCTGGCTTTCTTACTGGACTGCAATCAGTGGTTGCCTCATCCCTGGACAACAAAAATTAGGCTTTCATACAGGTGTGCCACATACCTGAACTTGGAATATGGCACCCTTTTCTCTCCCACCTCATTCATTCTTCTACTTACCTTCAATGCTCAGTTCAAGCACTATTTCCCAGAAATCTTTTACAATCCCAATCTGATGTTCTCTAGGCTATTCAGACAACAAAAATACCCTTTACTGTAGCTGGTTAATTTGCCTCTCTTCCCTAGTAGACTGGGTACTTAATGAAGGCAGATCTCAGTCTATCTGCCTTGTTATTCCTAACATTTAGTTCATAAACAGCACCTGATATTTCTAAGTGAATAAAGAGTTATCAATCATGAAAGTTTTAATGTTTAAGCACTTGGCTATTGAACCTAGAAACTCTCAACGTTTAAACAGCAGTCCATTTATTGTGTCAGTCTGCATGCTAACAGTGCATGGCATTTCTGATGGAGAATGGAACGTTCCCAGTCTATTTGCCAGTAAGAAAATCAGGACATTTAAGAGTGTATCTCTAGGAGATATAACCACACACGTACTGATCTCAAACTGCCTATTAATTGCAGAACCCACTAGATCAGCGTGCTTTTCTTGATCTTGACCTACATACACTGTCCGTCCCAATAGCCGCTAAAGAGGTGGTCAGAAAAATTTTTATGACGAACTGTTGTTTTTAGGTTAAGCAGTGTATGGGTATGTTGGCCTACGTGAGTGTGTCTTCATGCCCGTGCATGGGTGGAGGAAGTAGGAGGAGGTGATCTATGCATCACTTCTAGAGAGACGCCTTTCCAGACCTCCTTGACATTGATCTCTTATTCTCCTCCTTTGCACAGATCACTGCTTTGCTTGCATTCCTGTGCTAGAACTAGATTGTAAATTGCACAAGGTAAGGAACTGAATGCATTCCCATTCAGCCCTGTAATCCTGCTGTCCAGAAAGATGTCTGAGGCATAACAAGTATTCCATAAATTCTTTTCTCTCATAAGCGCTTCTGGGAGAGTCTATAGGGACCGACCACCAGAGGGCTGGCCTCCGCTAGCTCCCGCAGCCAGATTCAAGGCCAGGGCAGGCCCAGGCCTAGGAGGGGCGGGACGCGGGGCGTAGCGCTGCGCGTTGCGTGTACCGGGTGCGGTCGCGTAGACCGTTCTTCGGCTCGCGGGGGCGCGGTCTGGGGGGAGACTGGTGGGTGAGGGAGCGAAGGTAGCAACCTGGCCAATGGGCGCCAGCCGGGCGGGGCTCGCAGCGACTGCTCGGGCGCGCGCAGGGCTGGGCGTGTCATGGGTGACGCGCAGGGCCGGACAGGCCAATGGGCTCGGGGTGGCGAGCGGGCGGGCCTGGAGGCCTGGGTTTTAGGACGCTGGCAAGCAGCCGGCGGGACAGACTGACGTGTGGTTGCATCGCAGGAGGCGCATGGCGGGGATGGCGCTGGCACGGGCCTGGAAGCAGATGTCCTGGTTCTACTACCAGTACCTGCTAGTCACGGCGCTTTACATGCTGGAGCCCTGGGAGCGGACTGTGTTCAGTATCCTGCCGGGGCCGCTGGAGCGGGAGCCGGGGTGGGGCGCGGGCCTCATCCTCCCGGGCCCAGGGCTTGGAGTTGGGGGCGGAGAGGCTGGATCCGCTGGGGACTCGTTTCCTCGCCGCGGGCTCGGGGTGGTGGTGGCTTGGAGGTCGGGGACGGTGCTCGCGCGGTTAAGGAAAGGCAAGAACTCTTGAGATCTGGGGTCTCCCATGAAGTCATTGGACTCTAGGTAGAATCGTCTTTATTTCTGGATGAAATCCCCGAGGGCGATGTCTAACCCGGTCTGTCCTCGCCTCTACTTCGGCCGCGCCTGCCTTGATTCAGTCCCCAGTTCTTGTGGGAGGCAGAAACCGCGTAAGTGAAGCTGGTCGCGCCCGGCTTGGACGCATTTGACCTTTAACTGTCCCTGATTTAGCTGGCTTTGGTCCCATTAACAATTCTAATTAGTTTACCACCTTTTTAACCAGGTTGTGAATTTGTGCCTTTGGCACTCCAATACAATTTTTAGAAAGAGTTTTTAAGTTATTGTACCTTTATGGTCTTCAAGATGGCAGTTTTAAAAGTGTTGTAGTCATTACTTCTCTGCACCTTAGGTAGAAGTCGTGCCCGAAAAGGAATTTGTTTAGAAAAGGATTTTGTAGTTTGAAACTGTTTTGGTGGATAGGAAATAAATTCTTATTAAGGACTATTAAGCGAAGCAACTGTGCTAAGCACTTTGGGTGTCTTACCTCATCTAATTTTCACAACCCCAGTGAGTAACTCAAGGTTTTGAAGGTAGGTTCTCTGAAGTCTGTGCTGTTTTTGTCTCCAGTTGTAAATGCTGACAGCCCTTGGTGATATTATTCTTGCAAAGTAAATACTAATAATGAGATCTGATTTTTTTCCCCAACTCAGGGGCTAGTATGAATTAAATATTTTACGTTACATATTTATTTCATTCAGGCTCTTTCCTTTCCGTTGTGTTTTAGCTGGAGTAGCTTACTTCAGAACAACTTTCAAAATGCATTCTTTCATTCCAATGATTAGCTGAGGCAATTTAATTCCAAGTCCTATAAAATGTTTTGATATTGAAATAGTATACCATTGTAGTCAAATTTGTCTTTTGTTTCAGCACTTTTGAAGAATTTTAGCTGCTTTCAGGACGGTTTGTTTATTTATTACTGTTGACATTTCTTTCTAAACCTGGAACTTCATAAACAGGATGCATATTTTGAGTTTAGATTTTGAATATAAAATCTGCTCTGATTTCTAGCACCATTTATTTCTAGCTGCAGTTTGATCTCTATCTTTAGGTTTGATCTCTATCTTTAGGTTTGATCTCTATCTGTAGGTCAGGGCCTATGAGATCATGCTTGTAAAGTGTATGTTTATTCAAATGCACATTTAATTGAAATATCTCAGTAGAAGCAGGTATCTTGACTCACTTAAAATTATCTTACAGTTTAAAATTTAAGCCATGTTGGGATTAAATCAAAATTCTTTAAATTCGAGGTAGAATGTAGAACCAAGTTATAGAGTCTCGTATAGATTTTATATGTAAAATCTTTTGTTGGCATACAGATAAATGCTACAGTATCAATGGTGTTGTTTTTTTCTGATTATGTTCCAGTAGTAATAGTGTCCCTATTACTTACCTGTGCTGTTTTGGAGATGCAGAAGTAAATTATGAAGGGACATGTAGTGCTTCTGTAGATTTTTGCCTTTGATGTTTTTGACTTCTCATTGATTTATGGGGTCAAATGATTAATTTTTTAAAAAAGTAGAACTGTAGTCAGCTGGCATCTAGTACTGTAAAATGTTAGGATTTTAAAGCTAAGGTTCAAAACATTTATTTCAAAGATCATATTATTGAAGTTAACAGTGTAGAAATGCAGTCCTTTGATATAAGCCAATCTTAAATTACTGTCAGCTGTTGTATTTATTGTATTCCATGTCAACTTCTAGAGTTATTTTAGTGGGGTATTTCATTGTTTTGTAGCTTGGAACAGCAATTTGAGATTGAATCCTCATTCTAGCTCAGAGGAAGGAACAGAATGAGAAAGCTGGATTGTTTCCCCACTTGTCCGAAGACTTAACTGTGAAGTGGTTTGAATTTCATAAGTTTACTAATAATTAGTAAGAACTATTTTGGGGCCACTTACATGGTTTTGGAAAAAGGCATACTTTCTATAACTTTAAAAAAATTTATTTTGGGGACTGGGGTGTAGATCAGTAACAGAGTCTATGCTTAGCATGTGTGAGGCCTTGGGTTTAATTCCCAGCACCAAAAACAAAACAAAAAATTATATGGAACATGATCATGACTACTGTAAACCTAAAATTTAATGTAGGAGAAATTTGCTTCTATCTCTCAGAAGGTTGGTGTGTGGGTTAGAAGTCCTGGACAATGGAAACTAATTTCTTAAAGAAGTTAAATGTATTTGTTTACATTTTAACTCTATAACTCCTTTAATAATTTGAAGTTGCTATTTTAGGTAAAACTGATAGTCTACTACAATTATTTCTGCATACTTTCTAGAGGCATCATAGAATATCTGCTTGGATGTTTAGAAATTATTTATATCTCTGTTTTTTCCTAAATCAAAGAGTTAGAAGTTAGTTAAAAGCTGTTATAATTTGAAAGTCAACCCCAATCAAATGTGTTTGAATTTATTTATAAAATTGTGATAAAAAAGAAGTTTTGGGGCTGGGGTTGTAGCTCAGAGGTAGAGCGCTCACCAAGCACATTGAGGTGCTGGGTTCGATCCTCAGCACTACATAAAAATAAATAAATAAAATAAAGGTATTCTGTCCAACTACAACTAAAAAAATATTTTAAAAAAGTTTAAATGTTAAAAAATGAGAAAAAAACAACAACTTCAAAATGTAATGTTTATTTATTGTGTAGCTGAGGCTCAAATCCAGGACCTCACATATATTAGGCAAGCCCTCTACTATTGTGTTGCACCCCCAGCCCTAAAAATATGTTTTTAGAAATGTATCAATTGTGTCAAGTCAGACACACTGTAAGTAGTTCTTAAAACAATAAGATTTGTAAGTGAATTTTAAAAATCCTTCCATGATAGGGACTGTATCCTAAATTTTTATTTCCTGTCTTTTGATACTACATTTAAAATGAAAAGTTAGTAAACTTTTGGCTTGTCAAAAATATTTTAACTTTTTAATGTGCAATAGTTTTTTATTTTATGAAGAAGCGGGCCATGACTCCTGCATTAAGACAGAAGATACCAATAAAAAAAATCCCAGTGCCTCTAATAGGGAGGTTGAGGCAAGTTCAAGTTTGGCTGAGGCAACTTAGCTAGACCTTGTTTCAAAATTAAAAAAAGAAAAAGAAATAAAGAAAGAAAAGATCTGGGAACTTGGCGTGGTGGTAAAGCTTTCCTGGCTTCAATCAAACAAACACACAGCCACTTTTACATATAGCAGTGACTAGTGTAGGAGTCCTGCCACAGTTCCAGAGCTACTGATCTTTCAGGAGGGAAAATTTTTAACTTTGAAACTTTTAAATGTTTCAAGCCTCCCTTCCTTCCTGGCAGCCAAAGACAGGAAGGGAAAAGACCAGGTTTTGTAACAAAGACAACTTTTTCTAACTGGTAAGAATAGAAGCCTCCCCACATACCCGCATGTAGAGCCTCATGGAAGGAATAACATTGTAACCATGCCTGTTGAGAGAGAGGTGGACAAATTAAAAATAGCTTGTCAATATAATTTCAATCTTAAGTATGTTATTTTAACCTTGTTAAAAAATAAAGTCACATTAATCTGTAATTTATTACTGGGTTCTATTTGTCATTTCTCTGCTACTGTTTGTTTTCATGGCTTGTTTTTTCTTTTCTTTCTTTTTGTGGTGCTGGTGATTAAACTCAGGGCTTGTTTATGCAATGCAAGTGCACCACTGAGCTACAGCCCCTGCCCTTCTGTGACATTTTGTATTTCTATTTATTTTAAGCAAAACATGGTCAGCTTCTTTTTGGTTTATTGTTGAGAACTAGAAAGACAGTCCTTGTTTCTTCAAAAGATTAAAAAAAAATCACAATGTTGAGTATTTGCTTGAAAATCATTTGTTATTTATTTTGTGCTAGGAATTGAACCCAGGGCCTTATGCATGCTAGGTATTTTGTTAGTTAGCTTTTTTGATGCTGTGACTAAAAAGACTTGACAAGAAAAATTAGAAGAGGAAATGTTTATTTTGGGGGTCACAGTTTCAGAGGTCTGATTTCATAGATAGCTAGCTCTATATCTTTGGGCTTGAGGTAGGCAGAACATTATAGCAGAAGGGTGTGGTGGAAACGCAAGTCTGGACATGGCCACCAAGAAGCAGAGAGAGCTCTCTTTACCATCACAAAGTATAAACCCTAAAGGTACACCCCCAGGGACCCACCTCCTCCAGCCACACCCTTGCCTTCTATTACCACTCAGTTGATTCCTATCTGGGGATTAATTCACTGATTATGTTAAGGCTCTCATAACCCAATCATATGACCTCTAAACCTTATATTGTCTCACACATGAACTTTTTGGGGACACATATCTAAACCATATACTAGATAAGTGCTCTACCACTGAGCTACAGTCCCCATTCTTTTTTTTTTTTTAATCTTATTTTTAGTTGTAGTTGGACACAATACTTTTATTTTATTTATTTATTTTTATGTGGTACTGAGGATCGAACCCAGCGCCTTGCACATGCTAGACGAGTGAGTGCTCTACCGCTGAGTCACAACCCCAGCCCCCCAGTCCCCATTCCTTTTTAAACTTTTATTTTGAAACAGGGTCTCACTAAAATGTCTGGACTGATCTTGAACTTTTAGTTCTCCTGGCTGAGCCTCCTGAGTAACTGGGATTGTAGGTCTGAGCCCCTGCACTTGCCTGAAAAACATTTGTTTATATTATTGGTTTGTCATTTTTAAAGTAATTGCAAAAGTATCTGGGGGTGGGGAAGAGACCTGATCCCCTCCCCACCCCTATCCCCCAGTCCTGAGGATTGAACCCAGAACATT